TTTTCTGAAGTAAATCAATTCTCATTTTCAACCACACATTTTTCAATAAAATAATATTTTCTATCACATCAATACTTTTTTCTTCTTTTTCAACCACACATTTCCCATCATATCACTATTCAAAAATCAATTTTTCCTCTAAAAATCTCTACCAAACATACTCTAACTCGCCCCTTGAGCTGAGTCAAGTCGAGTAAGCTTGCGAGTCACTCACGGCTCAAGTGTGTGTATGTTTTTGTTAACTAAAACTCCCCGAAATATAATGAAGACGTGAATTTTTGAGGAAGTAATGAACATAGAAAATTAAATGTTGTCAAAAGAATTATAAAGTTATTAAGGGCTCGTTTGACCCATTTTTTTCAAAACTCATTTTTCATTAAACATTCTACAATAAAATAATTTTACACGTAAATCAAAAACATTTCATTCATTTTTTAACATACATTCTCCCAAAATCACTATTCTAAAATGCATTTTTCCTCAAAATGAGACTTAAACAAGGACTAAAGCACTCATCCTTTGTTTGAATTTGAGATTGGCTACTACATGAAGTTGAAGTTAAACTATACATAAATGAATGGTTCGTGTATTTTTTTTTTTTTCAAACACATGAAATATAAAGGTACCTCCACATGTAGTTTTCCAAGTCACGTCACCTCTGCTTCAAAGACTTGAGTACAGTTGTATTGAAACATTTTGACTTAACTAGGATCCTTCAAAGTTTGACCAAAGAGTTGACTATTGTTTGGTCTTCATATATAATAGTATATTCAGTAAATTATATTATTTTTAAAATACATTTTTGTCGTCTTTCTTTCCAATTATATATTTTTCAATAAAATTACATTACACGTAAATTTAATTTAATTTTTTTTTATTTTTTAGCCGTACATTTTTCATCAATCTAAACATCTATTTGTCATCAATTTTATCAAATATTGTTTGCTACATTAAACAACCTTCACCTCATATTCACTCAATAAAATATTCTACACACAAATCAATAAAATTACTTTATTTTTCAACCACACATTCTCCAAAAAATACTATTCAAAACTCTATTTCTTCTACCAAAATGGAAGACAAACAAGCACCAATATTTTAAAATACATTACTATGGTCTTTACTAATTAATTCAAGAGTCACAAGACAATTGCCATTGGTACAGACTCAAGATCAATTTCTATGCATGCATATTCAAATGCTCCCAAAAAAACAAAAAAAAAAAAAAAAGGTGATAATATAGAATGATTTCCCTACAAAATTCAAATAGACTGAAATTTCTGTCGGAACAAAATTAAAAATTATAACAATACAAATGAGCTATTCTACCTAGGTCCCAAAGAGACTGAAATTTCTGTCGGAACCTTAAATTTATCCGACCAATTCCTAGAAGCCAAATACAGCTTCGATATTTTCCCGGCTACCCATTTCATGTCGGGACGATGATCAGGATCAACGTGGACGCATTGCAGTGCGACACGTGTTAGTTTATTAGCCACCTCAACCGGGAATGAGTCCTTTAACCTCTTATCCACCCACTTCCTCAACCTCATCTCCACCCCTTCTCCACCACCAACGCCACCGTCCTCCACAGCATCCCTCGCCGTCTCAATGATTGACAGTCGCTTAAATTTTTTACTGTCCTTGTCAAACTTGTACGTCTCTGGCTCCTGTCCAGTCAGCAATTCAAGAATCACAACCCCAAATGCGTAAACATCGGATTTCTGGGTAGCGATCCCGGTGGCCTTAAACTCCGGCGACATGTACCCTCTTACACCCTCAAACTGCCTCTCCGGAATCGACTCCGGCGGCCTCGACCGGTCCTCCTCCCTCGTCTCGCCGCAAAGCTCCGCCGCACCGAAATGGCATATCTTCGCATTATAGGACGGCTCTGTCACAATTATACCGCTGCTTTTCACGTGCTTGTGCACCATATCAATGCTTAATCCAGCTGTATTGTGTATGTAGTCGAGCCCATGTGCTACATCCGTCGCAATTTGCATCCTCGACATCCATGTCGAAAGCACGGTAAAATGGGGATTTCTAGGGTTCCTCAAGCACGAGCTCAAATCCGATCCGGATACAAAATCGTAGACTAGGTAAATATGCTCACCGGAAATTGAAACGCCGAGGAGTTTGACTATGCTCATGTAGTGGCTCTTGCTAATCACCGACAGCTTCTGTTTAACATCGGAAAAATCCACGGATTTCCGTAGCTTACGTTGGAAAATGATGACGTCCTTGCCATTGAGAACTGACCGCCATGATTGGGAGGAGGAGGAGGTGGAAGAGTAGCGTTTGGCGAGAAAATTGTTAGTGGCGGCGCGGATTTCGGAGAAGTCGTAAATCTGGGTGCTCTCCGGCAGGGTTCCACGAAGGCTGGACAAGGAGGTGCGGCTCGAGATGGAGGTGGTGGCGACGGAGGTGTCAATGCGGTAACTGGAACGAGAACCGGAGGCGGAGCCGCTGGTTGAATGATCAGAAAGCAAATTTGGGGATTTTGGAACATTTCGCGAGGGGGAATTTGATGAGGGCTTTTCCTTTTCCGATTTTGATGGTTTTCTTTGAATTCTTGAAGATGAATCTGATGGTCTTGTGGTTGTTGGATTGGGGTTTGCGACGGGTTCTGAGGCTCTAGTCGCCATTTTCGTTCTACACATAAGAGAAACTATCTGAAAATTTACAGTAGAAGTTAGGCCAAAACAGAACCGAATTGATAATTGAT